CCATGTTTCGCGTATCCATGTCGGGCTTCCATGACGGTCCCCAGGGGGCTGGCGAGCGGCTCGCAGCGAGGCCGACTTGAATAGCAGTGAACCCAGCGCTGGTCAGGACGGTCGGTCCACAGCTCGGTTCTCGGGCAAAAACTGTTTCAGCGCGACGCAGCCAAACTTAATTAATGAATCCTCTGGTCCGCATGCGTCGGATCACATAGGACAGTGCTACCGAACGACGCTGCGTCAGGAAAGCTGGACGGCCCACTGGCAGTGCCTAAAAGGGCTACAACGAACTGGGCTGTCGGGTGACAACGAACTGGGCCCTCTAGCGGCCGTTCGGGACGATCTGGGCACCCCTGGGCGCTTCTCGAGCTGCTGGAGCGCATCCAGAGGCCAAAGAACCGCCGGGAGCCGAGAGAGACGGCCGAAGTCCCCTAATACTTGGATGACCGCGGTCGTTGCTAAGGGGATAGAGGGTTCTGAGTTGATACAACGGTGGACTGTCTCTGGCCAAAACTAGCTCAGAAATGGTATACGAATGTCCTGAGTGACTTATAATGGTTAGGAAACTCTGGTAAGAGGGCCACGCCCACTTAGCTGATCGTCCAAGTATTCGTATGGTTGGCATCACCTTCTCACCACGTTAATCGTCAGGATTCCCTCCATTTGAGAGGGCGCTTCCCTAAGATTGTCATCAAACCTGGGCTAGAAGATTCTGGGGTAGAGAGAAGCTCGAGGCTAAATTGACTGCTCCGCGCGGGCTCAAGAAACGAGGGCCGCTAGATACTCTTGCAGGGGCCCTGGGACACACAAAGAAATAGACACTAATAGCAGGATTCCCAATATTTTCCTATATTTCCTTGGTTGTTGACTTCCCCCCCATTTCCCATAGTTGCCCATATGCTTGGGGGAATCGATGATTAATTGTCTCTGTGTGTGTGTTCTTTTCCCCTCCTGAACTCTGGAGGAGAATCCGTTGATCGCATCCTCAGCAAATCGTCTCATGACACTGGCCGCCAGAGGGTCCCCCTGGGGGGCGACGCGTGATGTCCGACGATCGAGGATCAAGAATCGCAACAGCGGCTCCCGCCCGATACTTCCCCACAGTGTGTTCCCGCGACGCGCTCTCGCGCGGGACCCCCCCTCAGAAGTGCTACAGACACCGCGCCCTCACGCGGCACTCCCTCGCACGGCGTGCCGCGGCCTCGTGCCCCCCAGGTCGCAGGAATCCCGCTCCCGCTCTTTGGAGCTAAATGGCAAAAAAACCTCGACGGAAGTTCTGCATAAGTTTGCCCGGTGTAACTTCGCTTTCTTGAAATTTGACACTTCGTTAGAGCTCTAATATGTTTTCCCCTCAGATTCGATCTTATTCCCGCTCGCCATCTTAATCTCAGCTCGATCGGGTACAGATTTTGTAATAAAAGGGAGAGGGTCTGGATACTCCAAGACAAGCCATTTCAGACCTCCCCCGTGGGAGAACCCTCCAACACATCGTCCCCAGACCCCCCAGGCCCTCCAAGATAGCCTGGAAGAGACCCCCCCCGAAATGAGACCCCCTCCCTTTATTGCGAAATCTGGAGTACCTATTCCCTGGCGCCTCGCCCGGGAACCGCGCCGCCGCCCAACCAAAACCTCCCTCGCGACGCCTGCGGGGCCGACGCCCCCGCGGCCCGCCTGGGCTCGCCCGCCCGCCCGTTTCTGAGCCCGCCCGCCCGGGCTATGCCCGGCCGCTCCTCCTCCTCCTCCTCCTCCTCCTCCTCCTCCTCCTCCTCCTCCTCCTGCCCGTTCAGGGTCCGCCCGCTCGACCCGCCCGCCTGGCCCTGCCGCCTGCACTCCTGGTCCCGAAAGCCCCCTTGCCCCCCCTGCCCCGACCTTCCAGGAGGGCTAGAAAATGGCACCGGGACGCCTTTCGGCACACCCCTCAGACGCTTCGTGGCCCCGTAGGGAGCTCCACCGAAGGCCAGCCCCAGGGCCGCCGCCCGCATGCGTTACCCACACCCATTTCGGCACACCCCTCACACGTTTCGTGGCTCCACCGAAGGCCCCAGTGCCGCCGCCGGCATGCGTTACCCACACCCATTTCGGCACACCCCTCACACGTTTCGTGGCCCCATACGGAGCTCCACCGAAGGCCCCAGTGTCACCGCTCGCATGCGTTACCCACACCCATTTCGGCACACCCCTCACACGTTTCGTGGCCCCATAGGGAGCTCCACCGAAGGCCCGCCCCAGTGTCAACGTTCGCATGCGTTACCCACACCCATTTCGGCACACCCCTCACACGTTTCGTGGCCCCATCGGGAGCTCAACCGACGGCCCCAGTGACGCCGCCGGCATGCGTGACCCACACCCATTTCGGCACACCCCTCACACGTTTCGTGGCCCCATAGGGAGCTCAACCGAAGGCCCGTGCCGCCGCCCGCATGCGTCACCCACACCCATTTCGTCACACCCCTCACACGCTTCGTGGCCCCATAGGGAGCTCCACTGAAGGCCCCAGTGCCACCGCCCGCATGCGTCACCCACACCCATTTCGTCACACCCCTCACACGCTTCGTGGCCCCATGGGGAGCTCCATCGAAGGCCCCAGTGCCACCGCCCGCATGCGTCACCCACGCACGTTTCGGCACAACCCTCACGCGTTTCGATGCCCCATAGGGAGCTCCACCGAAGGCGCCAATGGCTACGTTCGCATGCGCCCACCGCACCCATTTCGGCACGGCCCCAGTGGCTGCGTTCACATGCGCCCACCGCACCTATTTCGGCACACCTCTCACGCGTTTCGTGGCCCCACAAGTAATTCCACCGACGGCCCAAGTGGCTGCTTTCGCATGCGCCCGTTGGACAATTTGTGAGGCACCCCTCACAAGTTTCGTGGCCCTATAAGAAGCTCCTCCGAATGCGGTGCATACAACGAGGGTGCTCACGACTAAATATGGTTGGGTTCTTCGCCAGGCTAATTTTGCCTGCAACGTGTATTTCGTGTAGTCCCTAAGGCAGGGGAAACGACGACAGATGGAAGAAAGGGACAAGAGGGAGGGAGGAGGATGGAACACGAGAGAGAATAGCAGGAAGGGGGCGAGGAGCAGAAAATCCGCCGACCCTGTCGGCGTGTGGCGCTACCCGCCCTTTCCCTGAGCCCTCCCCCTCCTCAAGCGCGCCAACCAAAACAAAAATGAGCAACGTCGCAAATGGGTCGACGCCCCTTCCCTTTGATCCCTTCTCCGCCAGGAGGGGTGGGGGGTCCGGGGGGGGGGGGTCCCGGGGCGGGGGTCCCGGGGGGGGTCGCCACCCAGATACGCATCCCCCGTTTGCGGCTTTTACAGAGGGGCCCTCTGTAGATGCGCTGGAGGAGGGGGGTCGCCACGACGGATCCGCAAGAGCGCCCCTAGACGGCCCCAGCCCCACAAGACAGCCCAAGAACCCTTGAGGACGGCCAAAAGGAGCCCCCAGACGGGTCAAAAGAGTGCCAAAAGAGCTCTCAAGAAGGCCCCGAGAGGCCTTCTCCTCCTCCTCCTCCTCCTCCTCCTCCTCCTCCTCCTCCTCCTCCTCCTCCTCCCCAACCTCCCCTGCTCCCCCTCCTCCTGCTCCTCCTCTGCCTCTTCCTCCTTCTCCTCCTCCTCCTTCTCCTGCTCCTCTTCCTCATCCTCCCCCCCCCCTCCTCCTCCCTCGTCCCGCCTCCTCCACCCTTCCTCTTACCCCCCCCCTCCTCCTCCTCCTCCTCCTCCTCCTCCTCCTCCTCCTCCTCCTCCTCCTCCTCCTCCTGCGCCTCCTCCTCCTCCTCCTCCTCCTCCTCCTCCTGCGCCTCCTACCCCCCCCACGCTCGTTTTCATCTTCGTCGTCTTCAGGGTCGGCGGCACCGTCCGCAAGGCCTTCGCAATACGTGGCAACACCAGACGGGCAGATCAGACGGGTAGGCCGAACGGGTGGGTCGGGAAGGCAGGCCCAGGCGGGCATGTCGAGCAGGCGGGTTGCTGAAGCGTGCGTCCATTGAAAAATACAGTGGTTACCGGGGAGGGGGGATCAATCATAGCATTCTTTAGAAATGAGAATTCAACAGATCGCATGATCTTTCCGCACCAATCATTCCGAAATCGCGCTCTCGCCTGAGCCTCCCTCACAAGTAGTACAGGAATCACGGTCTCGCGTGGGACTTCCTGGCAATGTATTCAGACACCGCGCCCTCGACACTCAGGAATCACGCTCTCGCCTTTCCTTTCTCAGGATGTACTTGGAAATCGCGCTATCGCTCGAAACTTCCTCGCGATTCATGCAGGACCCACGCTTCAGCAACCAGCTTGCTCGACCTGGCCGCCTGGGCCCGCCAGCTAGGGTCTGCCCGCCCGATCTGCCCGCCTGGTTCTGCCACATGCGTTCTGTTCCTAGCCCCCCTTCTGCTAATTTATTTCGTGCTCCATCCTTCTCCCTCCCCCTTCCACCAGTTCTCTGTTTACCCACTTTGGGGGGGCTACGCTAAATGCACAAATGCACAAGGAAGATAGACTCCAAACATGATACAATCGAAGACGAAGAGGGTGGGTACAGAAGGTTTGGGATATACGTGTTGAATGGCACGCGAGCAGATCGAAGCGAACGGTCTTCAAATGAGTATTTGTTGTTGCTGCTGCTGCTGTCGTCCTCGCCCGCGACACGCTCGCGACCCACCCCGCGCCCGCCCCCTCGCGCCTATCCACACTTTCGGGGTCGCCGAAGAGGGGGGCGTCCAAGAGGGGGGGGGGGGGGGGCGCAAATGATGGCCGGCGGCATGTGCGCTGCCCAGGGGGGGACCGGGGACGCATTGAAACAAGAAGAGGCGCCATGAAATCTGGGGAGATATCATGACCCCCGCCATGGTATCCCCCCCCCCTCCTCCTCCTCCTCCTCCTCCTCCTCCTCCTCCTCCTCCTCGTCCTCCTCCTCCTCCTCCTCCTCCTCCTCCTCCTCCTAATCATCACCCCCTCTTTGCCGCCACCGAGCCCCGAGACATATTTTTGGTCTCGTACCCGGGCCTGGGCCTCCGGCGGGTCGCCAGCGCACGCGCCGGACGCGCTGGCGGCCTCGTCGCAGCCGCCCGCCGCCTGCATGCGCGTCTCGCCCCCGGTGCCCGTGCTGCAGCTGTCGCAGCAGTCGGGACCGTCGCCCTGAGGCGGGGTGGGGCGAGGCTCCTCCTCCTCCTCCTCCTCCTCCCTCCTCCTCCTCCTCCTCATCCTTCGTTTCCTCCTCCCTCCTCCTCCTCCTCCTCCTCCTCCTCCTCTACCTCCTCCTCCTCCTCCTTTTCCTCCTCCTCCTCCTCCTCATCTCCTCCTGCTCAAAGAGGAGCGTTTCTTTCTGTCGGCGATGACGGGCGTCATGGGGGGGGGGCGGGGGGGGGGTATGACGGAACGGCCCCCCCCCCCGCCGTGTGGCTCCGGCACCACAGCCGCGCCCGCGCGCACGACGCGACCAGCAACGAGCGACGAGCGACGAGCGACGACGACGACGACGACGACGACGACGCGAACAAAATGTAGGTGGCGATATGCCCCACTGCGCCTTTGTACACATCGCTCGCGTGCACCACGACGCGCGCGAACACCACCGCACCTGCGTACACCGCAAGAACCGTGTGCAACGCAGCGCCTGTGTACACCACAATGCTTGCGTACACTACATCGCCAGTGTACATGTGTACACCGCAGCAACCATGTGCAACAGAGCGCCTGTGTACACCACAGTGCTTGCGTGCACCGCAGCGCCTGTGCACGCCACAGCTCCTGTCTACACCACAACATCCGCGTGCAACGCAGCGCGACTGTACGCAGGTGCCTGCGTGCAGGACAGTGCTGATAATCGAGTGGGACGTTTTTCCCTCTTCCCTCCTCCTCCTCCTCCGCCTCCACCTCCACCTCCACCTCTTCCTCCTCCGCCTCCTCCTCCTCCTCCTCCTGCTCCTCCTCCTCCTCCTCCTCCTCCTCCTCATTACCGCCTGTCGTGCGGGGCGGCGCTACAGCGCACGTGCGCAATACAGCGCGCAGTGCACCGCATAATGGTCGATTGAATCGGTCCACTTGGTTCTCGCACGGCCAATTTCGCTCGAGCCTTCTGGACGCAGATGGGAGCAGTTAGGGTGATGCGGGCGGACTCGGGGGAACTCGTAGATTCCAGCGGCGCTCCTTTGTCCATAAGGATTATTTTGTATTGTTTTTGTGGAATCCAAAAGCGCTCCATTTTGTCATACGGATTCCTTCTAACATCCGATATGCCAGTGTGGCGCTGTGTTGCACACGGGTGCTGTGGTGCACACAGGCACCGTGGTGTACACAGGCACTGCAATGCACGCAGGCATTACGGTGCACACTGGTGCTGTGTTGCACACGGGTGATGTGGTGTACGCAGGCGCTGCGGTGTACACAACAGCTGTTGTGCCCGCGAGCACGGCAGCACAAACTGACGCTGTGTTGCACGCGGCTGCCGTGGTGTACATAGGCGGTGTGGCGTACACAGGCGCTGTGGTGCACGCAGGCACTATGGTGTACACAAGCGTTGTGGTGCAGATCGCCACCTACATTCTGGTGCTACCCGTCCTCCGTCACTCCTAGGCATTCCCAGACGCCGCCGGCGCGAAACATGATGTCATCGACACCCTCCACACCCCCTCAGATGATTGCCGCGATCGGCCCGGAACAAATAAGAGGCTCAAGCCGCGTCCGTGCTCACGACGACGATGAGCGACGAGCCACGGGTGACGACGACGACGACGACGACGACGACGACGACGACGACGACGACGACGACGACGACGACGACTGCGGACCAGACTCCTGTGCGGATTCTTACGCGGACACCTACGCGGATCCCAGCGTGCACGGCGGCAGAGCCCGGAACGCACTGGGGGGGAGCGTTACGTCATAGGGGGGGGGAGCGGGGGCCATGACGCCCGTCATGCCCCAAGCAATGAAGAACTGGTCTTTGGGACGAGGGAGGTGGCGAGGAAGGCACCGCGCGGGTGCAGTGGAAGGCGAGAGGGGGTGGGTGAGAGCTGGAAGAATGTTCCCGATCGGACCGTCGGTCAGGAAAGGCGGAGCTCTCCTCAGGGGCTCGTCCCTGCAAGCCTACAGTGCGAAGCGGGGGCGCATCCGTATCCACCGCCTGGGGAACGGGCATCCTGTGAGCCCGAGCGGGCGGTGGGCACAGATGCGTATAGACATGCACACGTATCGTATACGGGTGCCGTATGTCTTCTCGTCCGCGCCTCTCCCAGGGAGCAGAACTCAGAGGCGATTCATAGAAGCCACGTTTCTTTGTTCGGCCACCTCGCTGGGGACGTTTTTGCCGCTCCAAAAACGGGCGCACCCCTCACGCAATTCGCGACATCGCGGTCCAAAAAACACATCTTTTTCAACAGTTATTGCATACACCCTGGCAAACCATCTTGGAATTCAATGATGTTGAGCCCGAGCCTTCGAAACGTTCAATGTCGCGTGAAACATCCTCCAAATTCGTGCCCCTCCTCGCCGCGAGTCTTAAGAAAAGCAGTTCGCCTGATACATCCTCCCCACATCGAGCCACGACGTACAACGCACACACACACACACACTCACACACACACACACACACACGCACACACACACGCACACACACACATGCACACACACACACCAAGCACACCCTAACACACACACACACACACACACACACACACGCAAACACAAACACACTGACACACACACGCACACACAAACACACACACACACACACACACACGCACACACAGAAAACACACACAATAACAAAAGAACACACACAAAACACCTACAACACACAGAACACACAAATGGCACACACACACACACAGACATACGCACGCACGCACGCACGCACGCACACACAACACACATTCACACACACACACACACACACACACGCATACACACACAAACGTCACATCACATCACACCACACCACACCGCATCACACCACAGCAGATCGCAGCTAATTACATCACACACGCAACACACCCAACACAAATTACCCCAGTGCGACCCTACCTAGAAGTTGGAGCCTTCCCCATCAGTGAAAGGGACGTGCCTTTTTGTGTTTGGGGTGACTAGAAGCGCCGGCGCCAGCAGCAGGCGCCAGCAAACTCTAGGCCCGCTGCGCCTGCTGCACCTCTCGCTGGCGCCTCTTCCCCTCCAAATCGCGATCTTTTGATGGATGTCGCGGTCATTAAATTCCTCGTCGAGGATACCCCACAAGTCGCCGTCGAACAGGGGGGACTTCAAACTCAAGTCGTCGTCAGCCACGTCGATGGACCGGGCGAGCATGACCTCCTTCGCGACGGCCTCCGTGAAGGCACCGCCCAGAACATGCGCACTGATTGCATGCATGAGATCGGATTCCTTCGCGGGCTTCCGCCCCGCGTGCTTGACGTCCAGCACGTCGTACAATTTCTTGGGGAAGGGCACGGTAAAGTTCTTCAGCCCCCTGCGAACTCCGAATGTGAGCAAATTCGCGTTGTGCTCCTCGCACAGCTGCACTCTCAGGCCTAGGTGGCCCAATGTTGCGCGCGCTGGAGTGCCGGGCACAACGGGTTTCAATGAGAAACACCCCCAACGGTCGCGCGCCCTGACTGTCTCGAATGCGACGGGGTCGGCGCCCACAGCCGACAGGTCCAGGAACTTGATGCCCTCTACTTTTTTGACCAGACACCTGTACCCCAGGAAGCCGTACGGAGTGGTAGCAACCGCTAGTTCGTGCGTCTTCTGGTCCTTGTCCGGGACCAACGTGCCAGGCGAGATGAGCAAAGAGAACCATGACGAGTTGAGTACGCCCCAGTCCCTTTTCGATTTGTTCACCGCCAAAGTCGGCGCCAGTTCGGATGCTCGTCGCCGAGGGGCGCAAGCTGGTCGGCCGTCAGCGCGCAGTCGCCCGGGTCGTGGCAGAACATAGAATCAGGCACTACTTTAGTCGAGGCTGTTCTGGCGGCCGCTGTGACAAGGACGTTCGGGCGGTCGAAGTCATTCAACAGATTTTCGCCGATGCCACAGGGCCTTGGCCTCGATGCGGCCGCGAGGGTCCTTTTCAGCGACCCGCCTTCCGACTTTGACCATGTGTTCAATAGGACAAGCCATAGGCCTTGATTTCATCTGTCAGCCATTGGTACACCTTCGTGTCGTCGAACTGCACCTCAGACAGATACGAGAAGTTCTCCCTGCACCAGACATGGCTTGGCCACTCAATGTGTCGTAGGTGATGAGCAGTATCGCCATCCACGTTCGAGGCCTCCTCGAGCTTCTCCAAATTTTCAAAGGTCCCCGGCAAACTGCGACAGGCGGCCTTGCGACGAGCGTCGCCTGGATCGTTAATCCCGATGAACGAACGCGGGGGGGCGATGTACTTGCAGCTGCTGATGGCGAGGGCGCCGACCAGACTGCACGTGAATCGCCACAGCGTCTTCGCCACGGACTCCGATGGCGCGCCCTGGCTCGCGCTCGCTGGCAGATTACGCAGACCAGAGGCGCCCGCCATATCATCCGACTGAAATGCAGCGAACGTGGCCACAATCACGTCGCTAAACGAGCCAGCCGACAAGTCTTGCATTCAAGCCAAGGTGCCTAACTTCGTCTTTGCCTTCTGGAGCTCGAGTCCGAACTCGTTCTCCAGCGGCCGCGTCAAGAATTCCATGCCATCATACACGGAGCACGAAATGGTCCAATCGATTCCTAGCAGCGAGCACTTGAATGCGTTGGCACCCGAGGAAACAACTGCATGAATTTGAACAACTGACTCAACACAAACTACGCACCGATTGCCGATCACATCAGCACGACGTCAACCTGACGTCGGCATAACGTCAGTCTAACGCCAGTATGGCATCAGCCGGACGTCAGTCTGACGACAGTCCGACGTCAGTCTGACGTCATTCTGACGTCAGCCCCGTCCGTCTGACAAAAGTATGACGTCAGACGCTTGTCAGACCTGGGTCTGACGTTTGTCTGCCGTTTTGTCTGACGTCAGACTGACGTCAGACTGACTTCAGACTGACGTCGGACTGACGTCGGACTGACGTCAGACTGTAGTCGCGAATGTTTTACCAGGGCACGTTCCTTCCCCCTTCCACCTCTTCATCCCCCCATAACGACGCCCTCGCCGTTGCCCCCTT